TGATTAATGGTTAATAAAATGAAAATGATTACAGTGTCAAATTTGCTTTTTATATTTAAGCATTAAAACTTTTTTATTTAATGGTACAAGTATACACTTGGAAATTCCAGTCCTGGTCCTTTGAACTGTTAATGTCTGGTTTTATTCCAGCTGAGACCTGAATTACTCAATTAAAACCCTTAATTATGCTAGTAATTGTCTGATTAGAATTTTGTTTTCATCTCCTTGAAGTCTCTCTATTTCAAGTATCTCATTCATTTTATGGATAACTTGAAGTATCCAGAGCCTTGAGGCTAAAAAGGGTCTAATTAGGAGCTGCTGAGCTGAGGTAATGGTTCGATGAAATCGCCTGAAGCTGAAAGCACTGGGGTCAGGAGACCTTCATGTCCTGTTGGACCAGAGTCCAGGTCCATCTTGAAGAGTCTGTGTGTGTGTGCAGGTGTGCTGATCTCTTTAGAATATTAACACAGGAAGAGCTGGAAGACTTTAAATGGATTCTGTCAAGTCAATGAAGAGCTGATTTAGGTTGTTAAATGCTGTGGTAGAATAAACACAAAGACACTAGAACTGACCACCCCTGTCCTGTTATCACATGGTTTAGGAATCTGTCATCTGCATCATTTCCTGTCAGCCGGGCCTAACAAGAAGTAATGTCTTTGCTGTTTCGAGAAGCACAGGACCCTGTCATTTTAAAATGATATAAAATGCATGAGGTCACACATGAGAACATTAAGCACACAGCGGAGATGACACAAACACGACAGGACCTGGAAGGGAAGCCTCATGTAGGCACTAATGCATAAGAATGATAATTATGCTATGGGCACATAGGCAGGGTTATTAAATTGGACAATTCCATTGCGTTAGTGTGCATCTGTTTTGACAGGCTGGTCCTGTGGAGCGTGCTAGCATGAGGTTTGCAAAGGCTGGTGCAATTACAATCTGCTCAGATTGAACAGATAATTTATCTCAGGATTAAAAATTAATTTTAGTTCAAAAGAATTTTCTTCAAAATCATGGTTTATCTTCTTTTTTCCACTGTTTAAGTTTTTTTTTCTTTTTAGCCCTATGTGTGTGTTTGTGTCTGTGTGTGCCCTGTGATGGACTGGTGTCCTGTCCGGGTTGTATCTTGCCTTGAGCCTGTTTGCTTGCAAGGATAGACTCTGGCTCCTCCAAGACCCTGTGTTGGATAATGTGGTTAGAATATGGATTGATGGAAATGTTTCATAATCTTTTATTTTATCAGGTGGGTTAAAAAGAAATTCTCAGTTACACTAACTTCCTGGAACCTCTACTGGATGAAAATGAGAGAAGTAACTTACTCAAGATATAACAACAGTTTCTCATTTGGGGTTTGTACCCAAGACCCTCCTGGCCTGTATTTTTCTAAGCAGAACCACATGTGGCTCTGCTACCTTGTTGTTTAATCTGTGATAGGAAAAGAAGGTGTTTCTGCTCCAATTGTTTGCTCATTCATTCTGTCTGAATTGGTCACACGAATCAGCTGGAGAAAGCAAACATCCAACCCTCCTTTCGGCGCTGCAGGACAGCATAACCCGAGTGTGTTTGGAGTGAATGCATGCCCATAAGCATTTGCTAGGAATGTTTTTAACACCGTTTGTAAGACGTTTTTCAATTTATTCCCGGCTAATACTACTTTGGCTATGCCAATAGAGAATTCTGGGATCAATTCTCAGTTCTGTTCTATATTTTATGATGTTTCTTTGTCACACTTTACAAAGGCTGCAAAAACAGATGGTGTATTTATCTACAAAAAGGTGTTTTTTTTCCCTGGTTTCCATATGTAATATCCTGTGCAGTTATTGTACATCATCAACGCGTCTTGTTCTGTTCTATGTTCTAGTCACATCAACAATGTTAATTCAACAAGGTGTCGTTGCCCAAGAAGTGGAAGAAGAAGGCTTCTGCAATTCTCTCTCCTTAGAATGGAAGTCAAATCAAAGTTTAGAACAGCATGTCACGGCCTGAAGCACAATGAGGCAGGGTGGAAAGACCTCCACCGCCCCCCATTGAGCTTCCGCTAATGAGTTTTTGATCTCCAGCTGTACCTCTCCGATACTTTATGAGCCCACCTAGAAGAGAGCAATTGTCCTGAAAAGACTGATCTCCTCAAGCCCTGAAGGTGCCAGTGTAGAGTAGTTCTTGTACTTGGGTTCTTCCTTCTGATTCAGAAGGTTGTAGGTTCTAATCCTGAATCAAAGATATTGTTGCTGTACTCTTGAGAAATGTTCATTCAAATTTGTTTTAGCAAAGCCATCTATCGAAATATGTCCAATACAAAAGAAGTGGTGACCTCTGTAATCAGGTTGGATGTGTCCATCTTATAACTGAAGCACTTCTTGACAGGTGTTTATAGAAAGGCCCTGAAACTGAAATTTCTCTCTCACTCACTCTTAATTGCTAGTATAGTTGAATGAAATAGACATTCCTCTGTTGTGGCCAAGGAATGTTTAACAAAGACTGTACCGTGAACTACATGCAGAATTGAAATGATCAAAATGCTGAGAAACTTGAGGAGTATCTCCAATATTTTCAGACTCTGCCTTGATTAGGAAACCAAAACTTTAAATGAGTATGAAATCCGTAAGATCCAGTAGCCCTTAAGGAATTGTTGAAACCCTTTATTTAAAACTGAATTTCATCACTGTTCTTTTTCTCCTGCCTCCTTGACTTTTCTATATTCTAGTTAAAGGATCCTTGGTAGATTTCTTTTAAATATATTTAAACTGCATGAAGTATAGCACATTGGAATGGCAGTTCTAGTATCCTGGGTTTGAATCAAGACTGTTGTGCCTTCTGTGCAGAGTTTGGTGGACAACACTGCAATGTGGAAAACACTAGGGTTCATACTTTATACTTCATATTCTATCCTTCCATTTTCTAACTGATTTATCCAACACAGGGACACAAGGGAATGATACTGCCTGGATGGGATGCCAGTCCGTACGACACACACACAGCCGGGCCAATATGTCTTTGGATTGTGGGAGGGAACTAGAGCGCCTAGAGGAAGCCCATGCAAACACAATGGCAACATGCAAACTCCACACAGACAGAACCCCATGCCTGGAGCTGAACCCGGGGCCCCAGCATTGCGAGGCCATAATGCTACCACTGCGGCACCGGACGTTATATTATGCATCATTATCATGCACTACACCAAATCAGGTTCCTTCTTTTCAGAAGGTATCATATTCTATTAAGCCATTCAATCACAAAATCCAATATTTAAAACATTCTAATGAAGAAATAATTTGAAGAAGTTCAACTAGGGAGCTGCGTCAGGGTGCTCAGGCTGCAAAGGAACAGGTAAAGGTTTATTCCAAGCTGAAAGGAAAATAAACAGGTGACATACCTGAAGAAGACTCTACAACCGAAACGTTGTGTCTTTTCTTTTCCCTTCAGCATGAAAAAAATAATTTGCCTTCTGCAAATATGCAAACCCTCTCTCAGACCTTACTCATTACTCAGACATGGAATGCGGGGGCGAGAGTTGGGGAAGATTCACTTTCTACCATCATGTACGTCACCTCATCCACCTGTAACCTGTGTCACCATGGCAACCTCTGCTGTTTGTTAAAGGGACCGCTTTTACAAACAAAAGGTCTTTTGTGTGGAAGGTGTTAATCTCTCAAAATGCACCTTTTAGTAGGAAGATTAACACTGCATAAACGTGCATGAAAGTAGTTACCAGAACAGTTTGAAGTGTTTTTTGCTAAAGTTTCTGTGACTAATTTAATTCTATTTCCCCATTTGTCTGCCTTGGGGTTGATTGAATTTTACTCTGGTTCTATAATTAAGATGTGTGTCAGTTTTCTCTTTAAAGAAAAAAAGACAAGGATAAATTTAAAATTCCATAAAAACATAAGATACATTTAGAAACATATGAACAAAATCTGCATTTTATTTTATAGAATTTTTAAAATAATTTGTTTCAGCACAATATTGTGTATTTTAATACACCTGATAGAGGAGTTTGTGAAAAACAAGATTAAAAAAAGGTGGACAGAATTTTACTGAAATTTTCTGCCAGGATGAAGAAATGTATCTGGGGAATTAGGAGTCAGGATGAATGCACCACTGCTGTCTACTCATTTAGTGCAAAAGAGAAGAAAGCTGTAACAGAAAGACTTCGCTACAGATTAAATTAACCTGAAGGGTTGGCAGTTGATTTTAAACGTTCTTTGTAGGTTCTGAAAATCTGCTGCATTCTCCTGTGCATTAATGATTGGTGATGGCTGATACCCAGGTTATGCTGTTGTATTGAGTTGTGTGTTAATAAATGACGAAAGAGGAGATAGTTGAGTATTCCATTTCCTTTTGTAAACAATGGACTGTAATTAAAAATCACTCCATGGATAGACTTGGCAAGAGGGCTTTGTTGTTTATTTCTCAACCTCACTCCTCCCTGTAAATGGTTACCCCTGCTGATATTGTCATGACTGGACTGGGATTACAGACCTCTGAGCAAGGCTGGGCTGGTCAGTACTGGGATAGGAGACCTCTGAGCAAGGCTGGGGTGGTCAGTACTGGGATAGGAGATCTCTGAGGAAAACCAGGCAGCTGCTGTTGGGGGGGTTGGTGGACAAGTAGGTGACGTTATTCCTACTGGAAGAGACTTTCCAGACCAGTACTGCAGTAAGGTAGCCAGGCCCACTGGGCTGTAAGAGGTGCCATCCTCATACTTGGTCAAGAATGATCCTAGACAAAGAGACGAGAATGATCCTAGACAAAGAGACACCTTTCATAAAAGCAGGAGTGGGCTTCTTGATTAAAAAAGAGCAAAGCTCCGAGTATTGTAAAGCACACCATGAAACTCATCCATGAAGCACAGAGTATACGTTGAAATGGTCATAATATTGAATGAAAGTTCCTGGTCCTGAGAGACTTTGGAAATGTGTGCTTAAACTCACAACAGTTATCTTAAGCAAGAGCAGCTTTAATGTATAAATTAATGAACAACAGGCAATAAAATATGATATGTCATTCAATACAAATATTTATTGAAAACAGCATCAGGCAAATAAATTAGTTTGATGATATTATACATAGCAAGCCATGTTTTAAGTTGTTCATTTTTAGTGATTTTGTAATGAAGGCAAAAGCTTGACCTTGTCCTGTCTTAAAGCTTTTACAAAATAAATGTAGTGTTCTTGGACCTGACAGTAATCCTAATGAAACTGGAGGGCCACAGGTGCAAATACAATGCTGAACATGTTTTTCATGCTTACCCATCACATATAAGAAAAAGGCTTTCCACTCTTATGCTGTTTCAGTTCCTGTGGATACATTCAGGACTGCCTCCAAACAGACCTCAGTTCAGATGTTTTGAGATGTTTGATATTTCTTGACTCATGGCTGCCCCAGGCAAACTGGAGCTGCACATTTATAACAGAGATAAAGTGTGGAAAGAATTAATGAGACGTCACAGCACCTCCAATTTATTTATTGCTGCTGTCTTTGTAAACCATTGCATGAATGTGACACCCCGTGGTCAAAATCGATGTACCAACACTGGTCAGGTACCAGTGTCTGTTCTTCCCTTGAAGCTGAAATCAGAAATCCTTCACATGCTTACAAGACAACCTTGACCCTTCGAAGGGCCATGGCAGATGGAACACCCCCCCCTTGGAATGAGCCAGGGAGCAGCTGCAAGGGTGATGGCTGGGTGGGGGAAGGAGTGAGTAGAGGGATGGGTAAGTGGTGTTCTGGAGGGGAGCTTTTTATCAGGACATTTATTTTTCCACTGGACAGCGGAAATGGGGGAGATTAGGGTTCAACCTTTTCCAGGACGTTTGTTTAGAAGGCCATTAAGTGAAATGAAATCAGACTTATTTGTTAACATGCAATGCCGGCTGCCATAGAGCTAACGTCAGTCATGGCAACAGGTCACAGAATAAGTGATTTAAAATCAAGCGCCTCTACAGCCTGTCACTTAAAAGCTTTCTTCTAACACATAATTACTGCATAAACTGCCAAATTACATACTGTGAAGAGAAGTTAAAAAGTTTCTCTCCCAATGCACTTTCCCTGGTTATTACTTTATTATTTTAATCCACAACCACTGTGCATTTAACTTTGGGGCTTTCTTTTCAGACATCCATTACACCTCCTGAGCTCGAGTACACTGACTCAAGAGCGGACATCATCAAGCAAACTGGAAATGAACCAAATAGCAGTACCAGCAAACTGTTTGTGCATCTCCGAGTTGGCGGGATCGTTTCATCCATAGAGTCAAACGTTCATACTACAGCAGCTTAGATCACAGCAAATGGAGGCAAGTCACAATTATGTAATTATGCAGTTTATTCCGACTTTATTGAAGTGAAGTCGGTATAATTTGGCTACAGGGTTTCCTCCGGACAAAAAATCTTGCGTCTCCAACATGCACACAAGAATGAAAGAAGGATGTGTCGTCAGAGGGCTGGCACAGAGGGGCTCAATCTTCTCAGTCCCCACTTTCACTTCCCTGCTTCCGTGTTCATATTTTTGCGGGGGTGGGGGGGTCGCTAAGTCAGGCGGTCCGAGTTCATCTTGCGGAGCTTGGCGGGCAGGTTGTTCTCGGGCCGGGGCCCCGGGCTGGGGGCGATGGGGATCTTCTGCTGCAGGTCGCCGGTGGACTGCGTCATAGGCTCGGCGCTGACCTTCAGGGCCTTGAGCTGGAGTCTCTCCTCGCCCTCCCCGTGGTTGGGCACGGAGCTGATGCGCTGCAGCTTGAGCGGGAGGTCGCCCGTGCTGCAGGCCTTCTCCGAGTTGTGGGAGCTCATGCGCAGCACTCTCCTCTGCAGCTCGTCCTTGCCCGAGCTCATCCTCTGCAGCTTGCTCGGCAGCCTGCCGGCCCGCTCCTCGATGGTGTCGATGCAGTCCACTGAGAAGACCCGCTCCCTGCGGCCCCTGATGTCGCCCAGCGGGGGGGTGGGCACCGGAGAGGGGAGAGACATCTTCTCCTCGTACTCCTTGACGCTGTAGGGAGGGGTGGGCACCTCGAACGTGGCATGGAACTGGGAGTAATCCACTCGGAAAAAGCCCTCCTCCAGAGACATGACCGGCAGGAAGCGGTGGCCCCACAACACTTCGTCCTCAGTGTATGAAGTCCTGGCCTGGCATGTCATTCCTGGAGAGAAGCCAACAACACAGGATTGGTAGAGCCTGCTCTGACGTCAGGCCAGCTAACAGCTGTGGGCCGTCTACTGCACCCTGATGACAGGGAGTTTTACATCATGACTATATCCTGTAACACCCGTGTGGACGGCTTGGGCGATTGTCAGTACCCCCTGCCTCTAATTGATCTGCGATTACCTAGATAGCCTCTGTGGTATCTATCCCAGGACTGAAGCCCCCACCCAGCGCTCTGTCTTGAGAGTCTCTGTGCGCCTCACTGTGCTCCTGCCTGGTCTAGCTCTTCCAATATTGGCCCCTCGCCCCGTTTCCTGATGCCTGAGTTCTGAGAACCTCTCTGGCTTGTTGGCTTGGGGACTACCCATCACCTCGCCTGCCTGATCCCTCTCTCCAGCTCCCCACTGATCACCACCCCTGCCTGGGCTGGCTCTCCCCCTGACCGCTGATTCATTACACAGAGCATAGCTCCAGAGGCGCTTTGCACCAGTTAAAAGGGTTGACTCTGAAAGCACAGCTGTTGCAAAAAATAAAGAAATGTCTTTGATTTTCACCAAATACTATTGGAAATCAGTTTTTTTTTCAAATTGAAGTGGGCCAACAACAAGAACAACAAAATATTCTGAAAGTCTATTTTTCATTTCTAGTGTTTATGTTCAGATTACTAGGGGAAAAAAATGTTGACAGCAGAGAGAATGCTGGCATGAAAGTGGGTCACATTGAAAAACAAAAGATAATTCTGGTCATAAAAATAGTCAATTTATTGCTAGCTGTGCATACAGCTCTTATTGACCATTAATAAGAAATACTTGATAAAAACATTAACTCCCAATATGTCTGAATTTAAGACATACATAAAAGCATTATGCTTTATTAAATACTTTTGGATTTTTAAAATAACGCATGAACTGAATAAAAATTCCACACATCCACTTCATCCTATATCCATGCTTCCAGACAAAATCCAGCTTTACCCTTTGCAACTTGCATTTTTTTCAAAGGTTGGATATTGATATTATTCCCACTACAAATGGGCATCCAGCAGGGACCTGACACTGCTGTTACAGCCAATGGAGCTACAGCTGGTGCCCAATCAGCCTGACAGGGGAAGCTATTGTATGCAGAACTCTGCCAGAACCTGAAATCCATTTGCTCAGTGCGCCTATGGAGAATCCCAGTCTGATGACATCATCAAACAGAAGCACGCCTCGTTTGAATGAGGAGGACCCTTGTGTGAGTGTGTGCTCTGGATGGAGATCTTCAGCTGAACCATGTGGGTGTTGCTCCCTGTTCTCAGTGCAGGAAAAGTAAAAATTATAACACTGCCAGATACTGCGATGACCTGGGGAGTAGAAATTCAATATGTTTCAATTGAACTTTGCAATACTCTGATTTTTTCAACTGTAACATCTCTTTAACAAGAGACCGTAAAAGACAGGAAACACAAAAGAACCATCACCGCTGAATGGAGCAGCCTCAAATTACATCGTGAGGACTGAGATTGTTCTTGCTGTTATTATTCCTTCAGCCACAGACACTGAATGGAAGGAAGGGCTGACAGCTGCTTGTCGAATGAAGACTGTGCACCGGGGCAAACAAACAAGCCCACATGGCAGCAGCCAGACCAGGCACTGGCTGAGCTGTCACCTCCAAACCACGTTTCACTTTGACAAGAAAACAAAGCGGCCTCGTCTTTCTTTCATTCTTCCTTAAAACACTAGGCCCCCACTTGCTGAGAACATGAAATGCATGACTGATGAGCATATAGTGGAAGAAACATTGGCGTTGCCTCAACGTACCTTAAATTGATCAATTAGCTAGATCACCTCAATGCTAGGATGGATTTAGAATAAGTATCAAGTAACCACAAGTATCAAACCACAAGGATAGGTCAACAAGCAATATTTGTTCCACTTCATCTATAAGCTAATAACACAGCTTTCAAATAGTTCAACACTTAAAATCGTTTTATGATTTATGTTATATATTAAGATGTTAGATGTTCAATTATATTTGAAAAACCTGATTTATAATAATTTCCTGATATAATGTTGCCTCATAACATACAGGTACAGTAGCTCCTGAAATCCTTGCACTGATGTCCTGTTGAAATTTTGCAAAAACTTCCAGATTTTGGTCTTGAATGCAAGATCATGAAGGGAATCTCTCCCTCTTTTATTTCTGAGCTCCTGATGAATTCCACTCTCTGGCTCCCTGGTGCTTGAGACCCTATATAAAAGATCCATGTTCAAATTTCCCATTGGCCCTTACCAATCATGCCCTACTTATAATCCCCATCTCTGAACTGGCTTCATTATGCTGTTCTCCTCCCCACTAATAGCTGATGTGTGGTGAGCGTTCTGGCGCAATATGGCTGCCGTTGCATCATCTGTTTCTTGAAAGATGCCAGAAAATAAGAATCAGTGGGTGGTAAGAACTCTTACTCAGGATCATGTCTTCCAGGTTGACTGAGCACAGTTATGTCATCTATCTGTCAGTACCTTCAATCACCACATCTGAACCTAGTCGAGCATTTATGGGATATTCTGGAATAACATCTGCGATAGCTTTTTGCATCTCTATCAGGCAGTCCCGAGATGAGTGACTTTCTCATGGAAGAATGTTGCTGCATTCCTCTTGCAGGAATCCAGATGCTGGTAGATTCTGTGCCATGTTGCCTGATGGCCCAATTAAGTCAGTGTTTTTTGCATTTTGTGTCTACTACCTGTATCATAGTCAACATTATCATTAGTCTACAAGCGTGATTTAAGAACAGCGTTGAATACACTGAAAAGGACTACTCTTAGAAGCTGGACAGACCTGCTATTACTGTTTCTTGTGTTTGATTTAGACATATACATGATATTTTGCTTATAGACAGCTAGATGGTTTGGCTGTACTCAGCCTCTATCAATACATTTGCAGCCCGAGACACTGATATTGAAAAACTCAGCTGATGTGATGTTATGTCTTCCTTGTTGTTTCTCTCTCCTTTTTTTTGTGTTGTTCTTTAACTGAAATACTGTGATGTATATTGTGCATTTCTGGAAGAAGTGCATGTGCTCTGTTTTGTTCTATAATAGCTTCTGTGTTTCCTCCCTTGTCGTGCTGGGTTTTAAATAAATACAAATAAAACATCAAACAAAAATCTACTGTATGAACATAATTATTATTATTATTGTCTGCTCCTTTTTGTGCTTGGCAATTTGCTGCCGTTGTGTGTGATTTTTAATTGAAGGTTATTCTTTTTAATCCAAAAGAGGCTACGTCACAAGCAGAGGTAAAGGCTGAAAGAGACAAAGCCTTAGTAATTTGTAAAAAATGCTTCCCAAGTAAAAGTAAAAGAAAATATTTCCCCAGGTGGAGCACATCAATTCAATAATTACCAAACTGTGTTTGTTTTCTGTAACTATGGTAAGCCACAGTATGGCCTATTTAAAAAGCCCAAAAAGTGGTGAAAGATTCACGCCACTTTTTCTGTTGCACATGAAAATGGAGTTATCAAATACAGAGACTGACAGACGAGGATACCTGAATAAAACTGCAAGGAGGACAAGCAGCTGCAATTGTCCTTTTAAAATGATAATGAGGGATGCTATTACCATGAAAATGGATGGCTTTTGTGATGTGTTGGTTAAACAAAGTTCCTTTTTATAGAGTGTAAAGCCCAATGGACTGGAGGGCTGTGTAGCTGGAAGAGAAGAAGGCAATTCTTCTGATGAGTATGAATGGATGTCCTGTTGTTTTGTTCTTCATTATGAGTCCTTGTCCCCTATCTCTCTTCTCTGCACTCCTTCAAATCCAGATGCGTCCTAATTGTGCTGTATTCACAGGAGAGGTGTATTGATCCCAGCTCACTGAAGCACTGGGCCTCCACCAGGGAATGAATAACAGCTCAACAGAAAGTGGCGCACCCACTTGAAGAAGGTCCTTCTTCAGAGCACCTGTTCATCAGCCAGCGGTGACTGGGAGTCTCCAAGCAGGAGTGCTCCACTGGGGGTTTGGATGGGATTCAGATCGCTCAGGTTACCTTCTGTTGCCCCAGAGGAAAGCCTGCCTAGATGGTAGAGTTAGCCAGGATTATATTGGATTGGCAAACCGGTCTGTGGGGAGACAGCTGGTTTACCACTGTAGGCCCTGAACCCTGTATTATTTGCAACTAGACACGGATGTACAATGAATTAATTTAATATGATGAGTGATGGTGGTTAAGTCCTCATTCTCACATGGAGGGTAATTAGTAATGTTTGGGGATATAGGGGGCTTCCACAGTGCTAGCTGGGGCGGCTGCAAAGAAGTATTTTGTTTGTAAAACTGAGAAAATCTCCTAAATAAAGCTTCTGCACTTACTTTGACACCCATTGTGAGTTTTAATGTGTTCAGATCCTTTGAGACTATTAGATAAGTCAGGTGCCAGATCTGTAATGCAGTATGCCCCAGGTTTGTCAAGTCCAGAAAAATACCAGAACATCTTCTGTACTTCCATGAAGGGGAATAAGTCACGAATTTCATGTCTCTTTTCTTTAAACAAACTGCAAACTTAACTCTGGAGCATGAAGCTTTGCAAATTGCCTAGCTAATGAGATTAAAAAGCACATATATTAAGCATGACTCGTTTTTAATTAAAAAGTGCGGCTCATCAGTTCTGATGGAACACAGTGTAGTGGGAAGAGGCAGTACAAGCTTCACAACCCACCCCAACAGCATGATTTTCTGATCTGACGTGGCACAATAATGATTTCCTTTTCTTTGGAAATTAATTCCTTGACCTTTTCCTCCAGATTACAGTGCTTCAGAATCAATAAAGCACTTAAGAATCAGAAGTACAGATGTTATCTCCCAAACAGGTCCACAGAAGTGGAAATTGTATCCACATCAGTGGTGCAGGGAAACAGCTGCTCCATTTAATGTGTCATAGGGGACTGCAATAATCAATTACAAATAACTATATTGATACAAACTAGGGAATAAGGAATAGAGCACTTTTTTCATATTGTTGATGATTTAAAAACGACTATCATAATGTAGGTTACAAGCTGGATGTAATTATGTCAAAACATCAAAAATGAAAGTCCTTACTAGTGTTTGATGTGTTGTATCATACTGCATGTCTTTTAGTTTTATTCTTTTGCCTCTGCAAAACATTTGCAGATCTACCGCAGATCATGTGTGAACAACGTGACAAGTCAGAATTTTTATCACAGGAATTTTCTGAAAGTAATTAAACGTGCCTTAAGCTACAAATACAGCAAGACGTCGCGAAAATGTGGAAAACACCTCAAGTCCATAAGAAATGCCTGGAAATTTATATTGCAAGTGCTAGATGAGGGAAGAGATAGTGAAAATCTTCAAATGTTACCTTGCCGATGTTATTCTAGCAGGTATGAAACAAAAGAGCAAAAAGGCCATTTTCACCTCTTTTCTGTAATGTTAGTTGCTGACTCTGCGCAGCAGAGAGCAGCCGGGGAGTGACCAGTGATGTGAACAGCGGTGTGCACAAGTGGCATGCACGCAGCAGAGGATCAGCAAAGCTCTTTTGTTCTTCTCGACTATGTGTGCGGAACATGTTATCGCCACGGTGTGACACAATATCCTGCTCCAGCTGTCTTTCCTGGAATCGCTGGAGCACATTGCCGTTACAATGGAAAAAAGATTGTGAAGCACCAATTACATAACAGCCGTGCAATCCCTTTGACTCCATAAAACATATCGCTTTTCCATCGCTCTTCACAGCCTTGTAAGACTGCTTGCGCTCTTTCCCTGTGCCTCTTTATTAGCCTAACAAGGTTAAAGGGTTTAGCTAAAGTATTCTGACTAGCAGGTCCAGTGCAAACAGAACAGTTCATTGTGTACATGTGTTTGTGTAAGTCAGTGCGCTATCCCTGTCAGCTTCAGGGTCTTGTAAATTTGTCATCAGCTGGCTGAATATCAGTTTTTATATGACATATAAATAAAGTATCCGTGCAAGAGGTACAGCTGAGGTTGATAAAGCATAGTGAGAAATCCCTGCTCTTGTGGCTTGAATTTAAAAAATCTGAAGGGGCACTGACTCTCCCTTCAAAACAAGACAGTTTCCAGAAGAGGTTCATTGTAGTCTGGCTTCAGGCAATGAAGAGAAAAAGAAATCAAGGTTTTGGCCGTGACTGTAGTCTTTATTTTAAAGAATAATGACATTTAAGAATCTATGTTAATTTGTCTTTTTTTTATTTGGCACCACCATATTTTTTCTCCAATTCTGCTAGGACCCCTGCCCCAGCACGAGGGGTAGGACAAGTGTGGGCTGTGTTACTGGAGCTCTGTGGTTGCACAGCTCCAGTCCTGGAGAACCACAGAGATCTGCAGGGTTTCGTTCCACCTTTGCCCTCAACGACCTTACTCAGCTAATAGGCAGCTTTTGCACTTTTCAAAGGTCTTCGGCTGCTGATTCCTGGAAAACCTGGTGGATTCTGGCCCTCAGAGGCAGGATTTGTGCTGTAGCTAAACCAAACCAGGTGCTGCAGCTCACATGCTCTCCTGCCTGCCAGTCTGCCTTGGCTTTGAAGTTTCTGTGCAACAGTACAGCACCATGAGGGATAGTGGGAGCCCGTTTCATCCTGACTTACTCCTGAGAGCTGCTATTCCTGACCTTCTCTTAAAGAAGGATTAGCCTGCCAAACCTGTGTGTTAATTTTACATTTTCAGCAAAGCACTTTTTCTCCAGTTTACAGCTGGTTTAGAATTTATTCGCTATGGATCTGTCAGACTTCCACTGTGCTCAACCCTACTGGTGAATTATAAATTATTTAATGCAGTACATTTGGCTCTGGAGTTTCCAAAAAGCATAGAACAGAAGGGGATGATGAAGAAAGGAAAAAAGAGAAAGTAGCCTCTAACCTGTTGTTTCCACAATGCCTTCCAGGATAACGACGATCTCAAACTGCTCGCTCATCAGAGACCTCTGGGAGAGATCAAAGAATGGGCTCTTGGGATTGATCTCGTGGCAGATCGTGAGAGGCGAGACGAGAAACAACTGGTCCGCTCCTGTCCCGAAGCCCACATCCAGCTCGCACTGGTCCAGGGGGAGGAACTCGCCCTCCGGTGTCTGCCTCGACTGCAAGAAGACAAGCACAGCGATGAGCGAGAGCTCAGGCCTCAGGTCCCCGCAGGAAGGAGCTGCATGCAGTTCCATCAAAATCGAGGTTCTCAGTGGGTGATGGACTAGTCTTTATGTGATGCACTCAAGCTAGACTGCACTCCAGCACCCCATATAGAATGTCTAATAGCTGTCATAATCTATAGCTAGATCTTATGTTTGAATTTCGGCAATATAAGAATATAAGATAATGATATAGAAATGTTGCAGGCCATTTAGCTGAAGTCAGATGAGCCCTTTGTGTAAAGAAGTGATCCATATGTTCAGTTCTCCATGCACTCCTACATAGTCACTGGGTCTTTGTTTCATCACTGGTCATGAAGCAGTTCTGTGGTTGACTTGGAAATAGTTGTGACAGTCATGTAGTAAAATACATATTTGCTGTTTGGATTTTTGGATTAAGACCTTCCCCTTCAGTGGTTAAAGAGCAAGGAAATATGACAGAAGCCCTGTCATATTGCTGTACTGCTGTACTGACCATAGATATCGCTGGACAACATTTTCAGGAACCTTTCTTGTATCTGTTCATCATTCTACACCCCAGATAAAACCACTGCCAGGATTCAGGCATACTACACGGTGTGGAAACAGTGTTGGTAACTTATTAATTGACAAGTTTAATCGTTTTGCACGGATTTCAACTGCTCACAGCCCCTTACCTGGGGTGACATTGTGGGCAGGTCACAAAATCAGGAAGTTTCTTGCCATGCTTTTTAGAAGAGCAGATACCCAGGGAATCCTCTATTAGTACACCATTAACTCCACTCAGTGTCTCAAGGTTTCTGGCACCATTTATTGTGAAGCTATGATGAGGTGAGTGACCTTTTTTCTGTTTACAAGGTGCTCATTTATTAGGCTGCAGCTCAGGGTGTATTTGCTTTCCTCTGTGGAGTACAAGCAGATGGAGGCCCACAATACCAGGCTGGTCAACCTCCTGATGTTAGTGCATGGGAAAGGCGTATTAACATAAGGGCACATGTTTCCCCTTTCAGTGGCGGCTAGAACACTAGCAACACAACATCAAATCCTGTACAGTATATTTAACACTTTTAGCCTAATGTTTTGCTTGTGCTCTTTTGTGATTTAAAGGAAACTGATTTTCACACAGAAATCATAGAAATGTCCCCGTGAGTTAAACTGACTATTATTCACTATTTAGTTATCTTTTACAACATTGTAAAACAGCCAGCAACTTCCAGCACGAAAGTGAAGGAACAGCAGCAGTTGAGCACACAGATCTTCTTTGTTATTTACTTTGTTGGATTTAATTAAAACTTCGATCCACTCACCCACAAAGGGCAACTTCAAATTCCATTATTGACTTACAAATTAAATGACAAACTTCACAGCAGCCTTCTGTTTCTCGCTACTGGAAACAAGTGGGAGGTGTGGGTCCCAAGCTCTATTTAAAGTGAGCCCTGCCCCTTGCATGTACTAAGTCATCACTCAAGGATCTGGAATTCTACCTTGATGCACTTCATGTGCCAAAACACTGTAGAAAAAACAATGCTCATGCTAAAATGGCTCTTTCACCACGGGGTAACTAATCTAATCTGCCACCATCATGGACAGTGAGAGCAGTTTAAAGAGGTACTACCCTTTAAAAAGTTCTTCTATGAACAGGTTTCTTACAACACTGCCATGATACTGAAGTGAAACAACTGTATAATCATACTGGTTAACCAGACAGTACTAACAGCACAGAACAGGTTTACTGGTGGCGTCACCACTGTGTCTCCAGACCAACAGCAGTCCTCAGACAGCTCTATACACCCATTTAAAAGCCAGGGCAGGTACAGCTGACCTGACTCAAAATCGTTAAGACCTGATTTACAAGTGCCATTCATTCCAGACTTTCTATCCCCATGAAAGACTCTGCTTTGTTGGGATAATTGATTCATTTTTATTTATGGCACTCAGACTTCAAATGGGAGAGCTTTTCCTTAGCATTTTTTAAGGAAAACCCCAGACGTGCCAGACCCATTGAAGCCTGAATTATTAAGGAAATAGAACCATGAAGGCCCTCTGTATGAGTGTTAGTCATATAGCCCTTCGCAGTGTGCTGATTTGGGAAATGTTTGACTTGTCATGGCCAAATTATTTTCTTGAGGACATAACATTGCAGTGCGTGCTGTGAATTAATTCTAGCTGCAGTAGTTCAGTTAAAAGTTTACTGCATATCAAATAACCTGCACTCAAAAATTCTAAGCTATAATAGAGTATAATCACTCCAATATGTAAGGTAATTAAGGTAGGAAGATTTTTAACAAGGGGCTCTCAGTATGAACCCCAGCTGTGGCCCTAATTCACATCACACTACCTGTGTTTTCAAAAACTACTTTGCTCCGTTCTTTCCACAGAATATCAAACATTATAGTATCTGAGATTATTGCTTTGGATAAATGTGTTTCTTAGGTGTCCAGCTAGTATTTATAACCATATTCTTGTTTGTCTTTCCTGGAACGAACTTTAATGATATCCAAATTACAGTCATAGCATTAGCCAATGAATGGATCTGCAGGAAATACGTAGCAAACGCCCAATAAAACACCTATGCAAGGGCCAAGTGTTTACTTTTAATTCCAAATGTGCTGTTCAGATAAGAACTGTCTTGTTTATAAACATGGAATAACTGCTTTGAAGGGCCTAGTGTATAGGTTCTGTAATTACATGCATTGAGAAATTAAACTACACTGCAAAATCAGCAATGTTTCAAATGCAAGTGCACATCTACAGTATATTGAAAATATCCCATGTTGCTGAAGTAATATTTACATAATACAGTAACAATTTTGGTCATATGATTTATACATAAGCTTAAGCATTTCAAAGTGTAAACACTACACAATAAAATTGTGTTAATAAACTCTAATTATTAAATATTGTTATGTATTAATAATGGACCTTTTATCTGAAGTGTAACTAAAAACATTGGCACATTTGAGCTGTGGGGGTCTGGATTTCTGCACTTACAGTATGACTTCACAGGGAAGGCTGGGAGGAGTTTTGCACTGCAGGTAAGGAGCTTTGTTGAGACTAGATCAGATACTACAATAATACAAACACCCACATAATTAAAGAGTTGCACACGTTCAATTGCACCTGAACAACAGCTGTCCGCAGCCTCAGGGTGTACTGTACATGCAGCTAGGGAGGAGTATTAGCACCCTGTATTGTCTGCATTCATTCACTAAGATGTTTTAGCAGGAAAAAATGAGAGTTTAATACATTTAGAGACACATGTATAATTTATCAAACAATACTGATTACACTTAATCGCCGGTTGGAGTATTCTCGGTCGCGTTTAATGGCAACGTCAGCTCAAAGATTTGGTTCAAACCACCAAATGGAGATGGGCGTGCCGACAAGCGGACCTTGCTGATGCGGGATTAACGCAAGGATGAGAGACTGATTACACTTAATAAAGCAGTGCAGAACCAGGTTTCAGATGCATTGATTTCAGAACATGTCAGCAACTGTACACATTGATTAGCAGCCACTTGTATGAAAGCAGTGTTGGATGACTGTAGCCTGCTGCACACCAGAAGTGCTATGTTATTATTGTCAGTACAGTGGGACAAGAGCCTGAGACTTCCCATGGAGGGGCAGTGAAGCAGTGAACACAAGAGGGCCTCACGTCTTCAAAGAGTTCTTCAAAATGCAAGAGAGAAGCTGGTGGCATCGAGCTACATTCCCTGGTGTTTTAGAGCAACAAAAGGCTTCAAGGAGCCTGTGAAGTTAAAAAACATTAACTGGATATAATCTGTGTTTCAGACTAAGATATGATATTGTTCCATATCAGGCAGATTGCGAGGCAATTTACTGGCTGTAAATTTACTGTCCATGTCCATGTCTGTCTACCCTTTTCATCTGTTCCCCATAACATAAAGGCAGTAAGCCAAACTCATCCATCCATCTTCCAACCACATTTTTGAATACAGCGCTGCTGGAGAGTCAGAGCCTATCCCAGTAAGCAATGAGCACAAGGCAAGACAACCTGCACCCTGGATGACAGTCCATTGCAGGACACATCAGACATAGTCAAGCACACACTCACAGCAGGGCCATTTTCCCAGAATCCAACTGAACCCAGAGGCCCAGTGTTGTGAGACAGCAGTTCTAACCCCTGTGCCAGCCAGTAAGCTAAACCTTCTTAGAAAAAGGCATGAGCTGCAGTAACCTGTTATCAAATGTTTTCATTTTCTTTAAGAAAGAGTACTGATGACCTCTTAACAATAATGACAAAGGAACTCTTGAGAAAGACTTTCAGTACCTATAGTTACCTGGAAATTACCTTGTTACATTCATCCTAGAAAGCCAGCCGAATTCAAAGGGCAAAGAACTTAGATCAGAGATTCTCCTCCCACAAAATTCCTGAAACAAGATGTTGACACCACTGTGCTGAAAGTCATCTCACATTTCAACAGCCAATTATGGTCAGCGAACACACAAAATCTTGATTTGTCTAGTAGGTCTTCTTCAAACATATATATCTACAACACTAGTTGTAGATATATAGTTTACCTGTGAATGGACATACACCTAACGGTGGACTTTGGTCATTCTGTGGAAGTTGATTTGAGAACTGATCCACAGAGTGAACCCAGAGGATGAGTGCTGTCCCAGCATGTCAGAATTTACTGCACTCCAGCTGTTGCTATGGAACCTGCAACCAGCCACAGAGCTATATTTCTACTGTGATAAGGTCCCAGCTGTTGTCCTTGTACAGAATCTTTAGCGCCCTTGTCTCTCAAACAAGTATTCGAATAAGACTCCATTTTGTCTTCTGTTGGTTTAAGGATATCTCATTACTGGAATTATTTTGTTCTAAAACCTATTTCAATTTTTCATTTGTGTTTTTACACTGTTTTACCCACAGAGGTCAGATATACTGACAGATCCACATGTAGGATTTATACTGGCACCCTCTAGGTCCTCATTACATACATATATACAGT